CAGTTCAGAAAGTCTTACAACAACCATTCATTTACGTTGTTTGTATCAAGTCAAAAGACAACGTTCTTACAAAAACTACAACTCAATAAAATAATAGAGCTTAAAATCCTGCTCCCAGCCAGTTGAAATTCTGAACCTCAAATCTTGACTTGCAAAGAAATCAACATAGATGCACAGGATTTACCATTGAATGAAGCATGTTCGGTGTTAAGTGAAATCCGATCAGCATCCATTCCGCCGCTTTCCGGTGCTTTACGCGGAAATGTTGACCTATTGTAGTTCGCGCAACCTTCCGATAGCTCTTTACATTCTTCCTTCAATTCTGTTGAAAAATCAACATTTCCCATGAGGTCAGATAGTTCACTCATCGTTAAACTAATGCCTAACCAGTATAGTCTCAAGCTCAGAAATTTCAAGACTAGAACACGTGACAAATTGCAAAATCGTACCACAAAAATTGGAAAAAAATGTAAGCCAGTGAGTCAAGCAAAACAGAGCTGGCATGCGATGCGATAAAGGGATAATAATAGATACAGCTTACTGGAAGGACCAGAAATCGGTGAGAGCGAGTTCTTCAAAGCGTTTATTTCCGACAACAATCGCTGGCGCTCACCCTCCAAATCATTTAGGTCTAGGCGAAAAGTACAATGGAACAATAAGAGCAAGTGGCGTATAGTACCGCCAGTTGGGGACATAAGACTAAGCACGCAAAATGTAACAACCTTTGCTTTCGAGTGATTCCTTATATAGGGAAGATTCCAAAATATTGGTCGAGCTATTGCGGAGAGACGAAATGAAGTTCCCCAGTAAGTGACGTCTTTGAATGCTAGGGCACTGAAGCGCGTAACATTCGTCCCTCAACTTATTGGAGCAAACGTTGAATCCGGGATAGGAAATAATTGCATCCTCATTGTACTTCACTGTTTTTAAAAATTAAAGTCATTCAAAATGTTACCAAGTAATAAACGCTATGCATAAAAGTGAAATTAGAAAACCAGGCATGAGACACCTGGTTAAGGTTTCAGTACCCTCAAGACTACTGTCGAGTTCAAGCTCGCCATCAAACAATGGCAATCGTTCCACCTTCGCTTTACGCAACCATCCAGGGGGGTAACCCATGGAGCGCATCCGATAAATGTGCAAAGGAATATCATGGTGGGAGATGTGTAAGGCCTCGCGAAGTTCAGGACTAAACTATTAAGGAAAAGCAAAATACTTACGATATACACCCAGGCTTGATTTTTGCGAATTTTTCATTTTCGTGGTACCGTTTTGAGGCAGCTATTCGACGAAACTTGCGAGGTGTAACCGATTTAGATGAAGCGATTACCTCCTCCTCACTATCCCCAAAGCATGGCTTCGATGAACAATAAATGATGGGACTGTCACTCGGAATCCTAACATCGTTAAAAATACGAAACAAGATACCGTCCAGCCCCACCAGTATCGAGGACGAATGGAGGATCCATCTCCAACACCTGAGAAAGAGTTGCTAACGCGGCGGAAGAGCACAACTTGGTCTAACGCGACCAACATCAAGGTAAATTAAATGCATAAATTCATAATAAATTTTGCAAAAGACTATTGTGTAATGCACCTTAACTAGCTTTTTAAAAGATTATTCGCAATGGTGCACAGCGATAACCAGTTCCACAAGCATTGATATAATAAATAAAAGCGCACCACAGAAATCGATTTGTATAACACCCGAAATGTTAATATTTT